TTAGTTCGTTAAATTACAATAAAGCCTCATGCAATTTGCATCAAGCTTCCGCCTCCATTCTGTGTTTGGGGTGGCCGCCGTCCTGGACTAAGATTCTGGAAGCCTCAGCTTTCTGAGGGTCTTACAGTTTCTGTCTGCTAAAAACAAGAATCAAGCCAGACTGTAAACCCAAGAACAAAGCTTAGTATTGTAAAGTCATTTAATTCTTTAAAAAGGGCAGGGGGAGGGGATGTTTGTGAACTTGTCTTAGGCAAAAGTTGTCTTAGATCCAAGAGCAAAGTCACTGTCTATATAACAGAAGGTTGATGAATTAGATGTTGATATGACTCTAACGCTTTTTTTCAGAAAGACAAACTTGTACAGACACTGGGAAGCTGTATGGCTGTTTGTACAGGAAGTGTACAATATGGTGATGCCCCCACACTCCCCACATATAGCTATGAAGAAAGGGAAACCTCATTTAAGTTTTAAGAAAAAAGAAAAAGAAACCTTTATGTTCGTATTTGGGATCACTGTGAAAAACTGAGCATGTGCAAACCTGCACTTTCCTATTTCTGATACCACTGTACCTGGACAAAGTCCCTAAACCAATCAGCAAGTTAAAGGCAGTGAGCCACAGAAAACTGTCTCCTTCCTTCCGGGTTTTTTGTTTCTGTTTTATTTTGAAAAAAAAAAAAGCCAACTGCCACAACTCACTTCCTCCTCTCACTTCTGCACACGTTTCCTGCCGGCTTTTCTTAACCTCTTTGTATAAGATTTGATTTACGGTGCTTCCAATCTTCTGGGTCAGATATGTTCCTGCCTCAGTGGTGCTGTGGATACAGTCTCTAGAATCTAGCCAGTGGAGTATCTGAGGTGCTGTTAATGGACACTGCTTTTCCTGAAGAGCAGAATGCAAGGCTGTGACAATTGAAAGAAGTCAAATGTGAAGTCTCTGCTTCAGGGATCCATTTTAGGGCATTCTGGAAAGTAAGTGTGTAAAGCCCGGGGACAGAGATACAGGGTGTCTGCAGCCGGGAACGGGGAAGTTGGGGTGAGGTGGGGGTCTACATACACTTTATTAGCTATTGCTTTAGATTTATGTTTTGTGTATGACTGTTGTGTCAGCATTTATGTATATATGTGTACTGCATGCATGCCTAGTGCTAGGGAAGATTCTGAAAAGTGTGCTGGATCCCTGGAATTGGAGTTAAGGGTGTTGGGAACCAAACCCAGTCCTCAAGAGCAATACAGGTTGTTAATGGTTGAGTCCCTACATATCTTGATGAAGAATACATGATTAGATGTTTTCAAAATTCATGATAATGTATACCAATGAATTAATTTTACTGAACGCAAACTGTACCTTTTACAAAGTTTCCACTGAGTTCAACCCTTGCCTTTTGCTGGTTCCCACCCCTCTCTCCTACTAATAAAGGAGGAGAAGGATATGGAGGACTTGAAGGCTTTAAGTCCTCAACAGTGGCCTTTGGGTTTTAGGTCCACACAGAACTCTGGACCTACATTCTTTACTCTCTGGTGTTCATTGACAGCTCCAGAGCTTCTCAGCATGTGAGCAATCTGGAATCCCCGGGTCCTCCTCATAGAGCCTCACATTCCCTATACACAGTGAACCTTCGGAGGTAGCTAAACCTTTCATATTTTGAGTGTTTCGGCTTTCTCGTGATTTCTAGTTCTGCATTGTGCGTAAAAAAAAAAAAAAAAAAAAAAAAAAAAAAAAAAAAAAAAAATTAAAAAAAAAAAAAACTTTCCAAATCCAGTCTGATTTTAACTAGCTCTCTGACTGAAGAGCAGTGTTAGGCGTTCAAAGCCTGACTAATTTCTCAGAACATGTCCCCCTGGTCCACCCATATTCTCACCAAACATCAACCCATCCTCTCTTATTGGTGCACAGGAATCTGTTATATATGGGAGTAGATAAGTTTTGGATCAGCTGTTATTGGATATCCTCCACCACCAAAGCAATAAGCCAATCTAGCTGAATTAATAAATCCACATTTTATCTGAGCAGACAGAAGAACCTTCCAGGTGGCTCTAGGAAAGGCAGGGGAGAAGCATGACTGAGTGTGACAACCATGAGAGTGTGAGCAGCCCCAGGGAGGGACTGACTCTTGGCGGGCTTTCTGAAGGGAGGGGCTGCTGCTTGTCTGGCTTTCTGAGAGAGAAGGTTCTGGAATTGGAGAAGTGAGACTGGAGTGTGGAATGCACCGCCCCAGGTGCAGCTCCCCAACAGGAATATGTCTCACAGTTTTCCCATTTATTCACCGATAGATTCAGGGGTGTTCCATTGCTAGCTAATAGGAACGGAGTTACAATACACAATCAGCCACAAATATCTCTAGCAGGAATTAGAAAGCAAGTAGACAATTTTACTATAGAGTGTGTCAGATCTGGTATTAAAGGACACAGTAGGATTACTTCAGGTCACAATAACTACAGTGTTTCTAAAACTAGCTGGGGTTGTTTCTAATATTCTAATATACTGACCATAATAAACAATGAACAGATGTATGAATTTTAATGTGCCAGTCAAACAGTTCCCTGCTCTGGCCTTGAGCAGTTCAGACTGGTTCACCAGTAGGGGCCTCCACCGGCAGGAGAAAAAGCTTGCTGGGCCTTTGTTTTAAGCAGCCAGATTTTGTCACATCTGAAGTCATGTGATGAAGAGGCGCCATTTTGGAAGTTCAACATTTTTATTACTTAGTCATGGGCTGTCTTACGGCCTGCACGGTATTTATCTAACCGCTAATCTCTCATAGTTCTTGGCTTACCTGAGAAACAGTAGTAATGTTTGTGAGCTTTCTCTTTTGGTATTAGTCAGATGAGGTGAAACTGTTAGAGAGGCTGCTGGGAGTTCCAGAGAGTCGGGTCCTCAGACAGTAGATGAGGTTTAAGAGATAAAGAGGCTGCATTTAGTTGGAGAAAGCCGGGTCCTCAGACAGCAGGTGATGAGGTGAGAATGTTAGAGAGATCACAGAGAGTTCCAGAGAGCCTGGGCCTCAGACAGCAGATGTGGCAACTTTCACCTAAGTCGGTTGCTTTAACGACTTAGGCCACTGCAGAGGCCTTGGCTGCCCTTTTCAGCCCATAGAGAAGCCTGAAGAAGGAGAAATCTTTACTTTTGAAACTTTTCCCAGCACACCAAGGACTCTGGCTTACCACGAGGAATATGTGACTTGGTGACACCTGAGGGGCAGCAGACAGAGACCAATGACACCTGCTGCTCTGTCCCAGGGAGGGGGCTCCTCAGTCTTTAAAGGGTCCTGGGTGGGTGTGGAGGAGACAATTTTCCTGTGCACTGGATGGCACAGGACAGGACCCAGGGATTCGAGGGAGGCCTGGTGGAATGACTTCCTCTGCAGTGTGTCCCTAACCTCCCAGATCAGTATTTCCCATCACAACAGCAGGGTTCTGTCCACCTAGAGGAACTTGGCCTGATCTCCTGAGATTGCCACTCGACCCTTGAGCTAACGATAATCGTGAGCTCTGCTTTTCAAGAAATACTCTGTCCTAAGCAGAAACAAGAAAGTGGGGATGGAGACATGGTTCAGTGTTGCTGCCCTTGCAGAGAGAGGGCTGGGTTCGTGTCCAGCACCCACTGGGTGTCCTGCAATTGTCTAAGAACAGTTCCAGGGGATTCAGAGCCTTCTTCTGGCCTCTGTGGGCACCGGGCATGCATGTGACACACAGACTTGTGGTCAAAACACCCACACACCTAAAATCAAATTTTAAAAATGAAACGGACAGAGATTTAAAAGGAATGAAACAAACATTTTTCAAAATGAGAGGATACAGTTTTCAAATAGAAATCTCCAGTGTCCTTTTCCAATCATCGACCATAAACTAAATCTGCAGACTGATTTGCTGGTGGGATCAATCTCGCATCCCCGCCCGCCTGAGAAACCTGGGATACAACAATAGGAACAGTGGGACCGAGATTGCTCCCTAATGCCATAGAATCATTCAAGGAGTAAACCGGTGCCCTAGGAAGGGGAGACCTTATGACGGTGGGGTGTATGGGTGAAAAGGACTCGGCAGGGGTGGGGGATGGGGTTGGGGGGTCAGGAAAGGAAGGTTAGAGGGTGGAGAAGGGGCACTTGAGGTGTGCAATGGATGGCAGCATTGTGGCTGAGCATGTCCAAGGTCCTCCAGCAACCATCCCACACCTACGTGGCTTTACAAACTCAGAAGGGCTGTTTATCTCTCCCTGCAACTGGCAGGGCCCGGTGTTACAAATGTCTGTAAGACTACGGGGAAATGTTATCTGATGGGCAGTTTGTTCAACCCAAACACTTGTAACACATGGCTACAGTTCCTTTAAATACAGGGAGTGAAAAGAGAGCAAATCCCAGCCTCTCTGGCTACCTCCTCCTCATTGCCTCACTCTGGCGGGAAAGCTAGCTGAGCTCAAATTCCCGACTCCTGAGAAGCGTGCATAACAAGTCCGCTGTTGGTTGTTCTTCTCCAAACATGTTTAAATAACATCCGCGGTAATAGAATAATAAACAATTGCACCGGTGCCAACGCATCGCCGCGCTCCGCACCCCACCCCCAGTCTCTACCGATCTCTAGACCCCTGTGGCAGGCTGGCAGGCAGAAAGAGCTCCGCTCCCTGATGAAACTCCCCTCTCTCCCTTTAGCTCAGATTCATTAAATACTTACAATTTCCTCTCTCGCAGTCTGGGGAAGCAGACTCTGCAGTTACCATTCTCATGAGGGCTTCACACCACCTGTCTTCTTGTTGCCGCAAACAAACTCAGATGAATGAAGTAGACGCCTGAAAGCCGGGAAAACTTTTCTAGTGGGCACTGAGTTCAACCCTTGCCTTTTGCCTTTTTGCGGAAGCGAAGAAAGTCAAATTAATGCAGTGGGCGGGGCTTTAAATCAGCTGATATGGAAGCTCTGCCCACCATGCCAGTGATTTGTTCTCTGATGGATGATCCTGCACATAGCCACCCTTTTGGCGCATAGTATCTGCTTCTTAGAGAAATGGAATTACAAGTTTGGAGAGGGAGTGTGATGTAAAAGAAATGTTTACCGTAAAGGATATATATACATAGAACTGAGGGATGTTTTAGATTTTGATAGTCCAAAATAGTTTCTAATTAAAGCAACTTCACACATTTTTCTATGCTGCCTAGGCAGGATGACATGGGTTGTTTCACTGTCCTATGAAAATCAACCTTAAAGTAAAACAACTGCAAAACGATGAAATGTAATTGCCAGCCCTTTTCAAGCCACGTGAAAACGAAAGTTCTAGAAAGAAGCAGCAATTTTCACAGCCCCTGCTCCAAGACTAATTAGCAGTGACCATAGAGGGTTTGGAAACCTGTGAGTTTGGAACTATCTTTAGCCCTCTTTTAAAAAAAATTATTTTACCTTATGCATATTAGTGTTTCGCCTGAATATACGTATGTGCACTTGTGCCTGCCCTGGGGCTCATGGAGGTCAAAGAGAGCAGCAGAGCTCCTGGAACTGAGCCAGCGCTCCAGTCCTCCATTTCTAGCCCTATCAGTACCTGTATATTGCTAATCTCTGCCTCTCATCTTTGTAACCATCAGGTAACTCCGAAGACTAGCTTTCCTTGCAATGTACTAACAGACAGATAGCTCCCATAACCTCCAAGGCTAAGAGCATCATCAGGTAGCATCTGACCCCTGGGACAAAGCTCCACCCACATTGCTGTAACAGACTCTCTGGTGTTTCCACCAATGTGCTTGAAAAGTGTCTTCATGTGTGGCTTCCTTTGGTCTGTGACTATAAAGACTCCATTCCCACCTTGGAACATGGAATTTGGGGTGATCTAAACGGGTATTGCTGGGCCATGGTCACTCATTTTGTCTCCAGAGTAAACTCTTATTTCCTTTGAGGTGAGAGTTGTGTTTTGCACACAATGGGCAGTGACTGTCTGGGAACAGGATAGGAGAGCACATTGGCACCATAGGAAAAGTGAAGCAGAGAAGAGGTAGACTAGGTACCAGCAGGCTGAGAGTGCTTTATTGGAATAGAGAGGGGACCAATCTTTCCATGGCATGAAGGTTGAGCACATTTAGAGGGGCTGGTGTCTCTCTCTCTCTCTCTCTGTTTCTCTCTCTCTCTCTCTCTCTCTCTCTCT